GGGTTATTTAGTTAAAGAAATGTCTGATATGGGCAGTGACTAAGTCCTGGAGTCAGTTTGTTGCAGTAACCTAATTACAAAACCCACTCACCTGCTTTCTGTCCAGCCATCTTAGCGATGCCATCCCCCTTCAGGTTCTGCATAAAGTTGGACATGTCGTTGATGGATGGATGGCGTGTGTTCAGGCAGGATGGTGTGTGTTCAGAGTGTGTTTCTGCTGCGTCAGACTGTGGTTTTATATCTGCAGGTGTATAGTTCCTGCAGATGACACCCTGCAAAAGAATCGGGTGTGGCAACGCCCGACCGGTTCCACAGGTCTGTGAGCAGAGAGGACAGAATTTAATTTAGGTTTCACACAACAATGTTGTGAGTCACTTAGTGTGTGTGTGTGTGGGCGTGTGTGTGTGTGTGTGTGTGTGTGTGTGCGTGCGTGTGTGGGTGGGTGTGTGCGTGTGTGCGCGCGCGTGTGTGTGTGTGTGTGCGGGCGTGTGTGTGTTTCTGCAGCAGGTTGGATCACCTGAGGAAGATGAAGGTGATCTGCTGGTTGTGCTCTCCTCGGCTTCCTTACACTTTTTAAAATGCAAAGGTTAAAAAACAACAAGGTAATTTAAAAAGCCTGCAAAAGTGTTGGCGGGTGGTGTTCCATTCTCTGAGGCTCTACAGGAAGTTCTTCTGTAACAGTCTAAAGGAACAAAATGGCCGACATTCAGATGAATAAACTGCAGAAGAAGAGTGAAGAGAACAAAGATCAGATGAAAGTTAAAGCTGCTGACAGTGGTTCCTCATGGTCACCATGGTAACCACACAACTAAAAAAGTACTCTCAAGGAGACAGGCAGACAGAAATGCAGATTAAAAAGTAAACCTCCAATGATTGTTGGACAAATGTTTATGTTTTTACTGTGTTTTATGGACGTATGAAAAGTTGAAAAGAGTTCAAAATAAATTCATGAAATCAAATGAACTGGATGTTTGTTTCTCTGCCTGCATGGCTCAACACCGGAGAGCTCAGCCGGCCTTCATCTCAAGGACAAGGGACGCTCTGCTGAGGACCAACAGGGCTGATGTTGGACAGAGAGGACAGATGAGGGGGGTGAAGAAAGACATTCATGTGATACAACTTTAACCAGAGCAGGAGGTCTCAGGTTTCAACGTTCTAAAATCTACAGAGCAGCTCTGAAACCTGACTCCAGGTCAGTTTCACTCTGATTCACACCTTCATGCAGGTGACCAAACAGCTGTCTGTGACCGAGCTAACCATGACCCTGATGACCCTCATGAGGGAGGGGAGGGAGGTGATCTGCTTGTGAGTTTAGCTGCATAACTGGAGTCTCTCCTGCAGGTTTAAGCGTGGAGCTCCACTCTCTGCAGGTTTTATCTGAGAAACACCTAGAACAGATGTCCATCCATCCATCCATCTATCCATCCATCCATCCATCCATCTATCCATCCATCCATCCATCCATCCATCCATTCATCCATTCATCCATTCATCCATCCATCCATCCATCCATCCAT